AAGAGTGAGAGATTGAGAGAGGAGTCCCTCGATTTGATATTTCATCACATGCTCAAAGTGTCCAGGACCCAAAGGGGCTAAGCCTCTCCTCTGCCAGGGTCCCTTCCGCTCCTGCTCCCTGGTGATCTGTAACTTGCCACTCCTTCCTCCCATCACCCTTTGCCCTGCTTTCCGCCCTCCAGTACCAGGTGCCCTGGTGGACATGAGCCAGCAGGCCAGAGGTATGGGATCTACACCATCTCCCAGACAATGGACACAAAAGAACGAACAAGTAGGGCATGGGGTGGGGGGCACCCGCCTCGCAGGGGAAACTCAGCTCAGGAGGCTTCAGCAATCCTCAGCAAACCTCAGAAACTAATGACCCTGCCCAAGGACGGGCAGTGCCGGTTTCGATGTGGCTTCGTTCATCTGGGTGACGCGGCTGACCGAGGATTTTGCAGAGGAGGAAGGGCAATGACTTGGGAAACTTTTCCAAAAGGACATCCCCTCTGGGTCCTGGGTTCTCTGCGGCACCCTCCCCGCTCCGCTCCCCTTCTCTCCAACCCGCAGGAGCTCATCCCCCGTGCCCAGGCCCCGTCTCGAGTCTACCTTCCCCTCCTTTCTCGCTGGCTGCCGAAAGTCCATGTTCTCCCCAGGACTCGCTTATCTCCTCTGCAGAAACCAGGGCGTGTTCCCAGCACAGCACCGGGTAAGTGATAAGGAGAAAGGGAAGTTGTCTGGCTTCCACCTGCACTGCTGTGCCAGGTGTGGCCGGCGGCTCATTAATCACATCCATATCTGCATTGTCTCCGTCTCTCCCAAGACGACGAGTGACAGTGAAAAGCCACTCATTTGCATGTGATTTCTCTCTCTCTATTTCACTCCCAGCTGGGGGGTGGCACCCACCCCACCGCCGTCCCCAAGAGGCTCTCCACCCCCGACCCCAGCTCCCCACGTGTGTTTCCCGTCCTTCCAACTCACAGAGATTTGCTTCAGAAAGCTGCTGACTACGAGATGTTTCCGAGGATGTCATGTCTAAGGAAAAGGGAGAAACGTGAAATTGGAGCCATGCTGTGGTCTCCGGGCTTCCTGGGGTCTGAGGCACCAAGACAGCAAACGCGGGCCCAGCAAAGAGCCCTGGCTGCCCGGCCAAGGCTTTTCCACTGTGGGCCCCACACTCTGCCCTTCTCTAGCCAGGTTTCTTTAAAAAAAAAAAAAAAAAAAAAGCCTTGTCCCACAATGAACACTTGGAAGGGGGTCATGGATTTCCTAAGGTGGCCCCGTCAAGTCCACCCATCAGGAGTCTCTGCCCACGCCCACCCCAGCCATTGGCAGAAGCAGCACAACATGGGCTACCGCAGACGCCACTTTTAGACGGAAACAAGCAGCTCCGAAACCACCGCTTCTGGAGGTGAAGAAAGGCTTGGGATGCACAAGGGGGTAGACACAGGTGGGATCCTGGACTCGGGTGCAGCAGCCCATGGCCGTCACTGTAGAAGCTGCTCTTGTTTAGTCCAGAGCCTCCCAGAGTCATGAAAAGAGGAAGGGCCTCGCAGCCAGGCCAGCCTGATCCCATCCTGCACGTTAGCTCTGTGATGAGGGCAGGGGATGGCTCTTCCCCTCTACAATTTATTTTCCTTTTCCTTGGAGAGATTTGTTGTTGTTGTTGTTTGAGACAGAGTCTTGCTCTGTCTCCAGGCTGGAGTGCAGTGGCATGATCTCAGTTCACTGCAACCTCTGCCTCCCGGGTTCAAGCAATTCTCCTCCCTCAGCCTCCCAAATAGCTGGGATTACAGGCATGCGCCACCATGCCCAGCTAATTTTTTTGTGTTTTTAGTAGAGATGGGGTTTCACCATGTTGTCCAGGCTGGTCTCCATCTCTTGACCTCATGATCCATCCACCTCGGCCTCCCAAAGTGCTTGGATTACAGGCGTGAGCCACTGCGCACGGCCAAGAATTTTTCTGATAAAGAAATGTTATGAGATTAAATGGTCCTAGACATGCTTCCTCTCCAACGCTGGCTGCTGCTGTAAGACCCAGATCCAAGGCCAGCTCCTCTCACACCCCAGATGAGCACGATCTCTTCCTTTTGAAACCCCCATCCTTTTATCAGAACCTCTCTAAGACAGGCAGCTGTCCACCTCTTATCATAACTAATGACACAAAACATTATCTCCAGGGAAGGACAGGAGGTGTGCTCTGTCCCCTCTACATCGTCAGTGCCCACTGAAGATTAGTTGCATGAATGAATAAGTGAATGTGTTTGTTTTGAAGTATTTACTCTGCTGGGAAAATTGCATGAACAATTTAGAATGCTATTGTCATTCAATAATACACACAGTTTTATTCTATGTTGTTTTTCATCATTTAATTTCCAAAGTGCTCCGTTTTAGTTTCCCGGACAGACAGATAAAGAAATTGAAAGGATAAGCAGTTGCCTACAAGTTCTAGAACTTTCAGCTTCTAGAATACTCCTAGGCTCCAGCCCTCTTGGGTTTTGAGCTGAGCCTTAAATTGCTTTTGCCTTCCCATAGAAAGGTTTGTTTTCTTCTGTAACTTTCCCTGTGAACCTTCAGAATAGAAGCCGGACTTCAGCCTTGTGTGACATTTTACTTTCTAACATTTATAGGGCTTATGTTAATTTTGTGGCTGAAAGATTCAAGAAATGGGGGCAGACTTCCAGTGGAAAATTGAACCAAATAAAGAATGTAGCACTGAGATCTTCATTCACACTCAAATATCTGCAGTGCTATATTTTCTACATTGCCCTTACTCACTTCTAATAAGATTTGTTATTTTTTTTAAAAGCATACAAAAAAGCAAGTACAATGAATTTTGTACTCATAGTTCAATTAAGTTATTTCATGGGCACGTCAATGAACTTAGTACATGTGATTTTTCAACTTATATAACCAGAAATTCCCAGGGAGCCATCAGAACACTGGGTCTTCTCTTGCACAAACACAGCTGTTGTTTTGAGGACATAATATGATTAACAGAGAATTTTCAGGAAGAACATTGTGTCAATAAAAATTAATTTGGGTTGGCTTCCTATGAAATATACCCTATATATATACACACACACACACACACACACACATATATACATATACATATATATGTGTGTGTGTGTGTATATATATATTTATATTAGAGAGAGGCATTTTTTTCACCTTTATTTGCAACATCCCAAGTAGAAAAGGATGGTGCTGGAATGTCTCTTTCCTTTTGGCTCCCAGATCCCCAACCTCAAATACCTATAATATAAATATAGTCACTTTGAAGATAGAAAGTTTGCTTTAACTCCTAACTTTGGGATGATTCCAGAACAGCTAAAGGGAAATGACTGTGAAAGAAGTCAGGACTGCAAATGTATGTTCAGAGCTACCAGTGTGTGCAGAGGCAGATGTGGAAAGCAAGACATGGATGAGATCACTAAGGGGGAAAGTGCAGAGTACCAAAGAAAAAACCTTAGAGTATGCCTGTAGGTTGGTAGGAAGAAAGAAATTCATCAAAACAGACTAGGAAAGATTTTTTAAAAACCAAGGTGGGAGGATCACCTGAGATCAGGAGTTTGAGACCAGCCTGGTCAACATAGTGAAACCCCGTCTCTACTAAAAACACAAAATTAGCCAGGTGTAGTGATGGCAGATGCCTGTAATCCCAGCTACTCAGGAGGCTGAGGCATGAGAATCACTTGAACCCAGGAGGTGGAGTTTGCAGTGAGCCAAGATCACACCACTACACTCCAGCCTGGGCGACACAGCAAGACTCTGTCTCAAAAAAAAAAAAAAAAATTAAAAAAGTAAGATTCACACCAAAGCAGCAAAGGGATCCAGCATCTCATCAAAGAGAAACAAAGTCACTCTACAAGAGAAACAGAAGAAACAAAAGAGACAAAGTCGAACTACTCAACAGAGTCACCCAGTGGACCTTGAAGGCAGTGACCACTGGACAGGGTTTCACTTGATCACCCAGGCTGGAGTGCAGTGGCATGATCACAGCTGCCTGCAACCTCAGCCTCCTGGGCTCAGGTGATCTTCCCCGCTCAGCCTCCTGGGTAACTGGGACTACAGGTGCATGCTGCCACATCTGGCTTTTTTTTTATTATTATTATTTTTGTAGAGACAGGGTTTTGTCATGTTGCCCAAGCTGGTCTCAAACTCCTGAGCTCAAATGATCCACCTGCCTTGGCCTCTCAAACTGCCGGAATTACAGGTGTGAGCCACTGCGCCAGTCCCTTCATTTTAAAACCACAGAAGATGCCAAAAGCAGAGATAAGTCAACTTGAGTCTTTGACATCAGTTGTTCACTTGTTTTCTCTTTAACACAGCCCGCCAGTGATACCTCCTTTGTGTCCTATGTCTGTTTTGGTTCTAAGCAGCTGTTGTCCCACTCAGCTTGTAATATAGCTCAACTGAAATCTAAACGCGATCCAGTGAAACCACTCAGAACTGGAGGTAGGAATGCCAAAACCATGAGTTAGAAATGGCACCTAGGAGGGAAATGACCCTGAGCCCAGTGGAAGCAGCACCAGTCAAGATGGTGGGCATAGTGTGTGCAAAGGAGTACCCAATAATGTACTGGTCCCAATAATGATCAAAGTTTGGAATGCCAGAGTCCCCAGGCGGGAATGGACCGAGAGGTTTAAGATCCTCCGGTGTATCCGACAGTTTCAGAAGAGCACAGGAATGACTGCTGTGAATTTGTTGTTCTCTACAATAATTTGTGTTACTTTAACATTCTTCTTCCAGTGTTGCTACCCCATTTACATATCATCGTGTGTAATTCAGAAATGCCTACAAACAAGCAGTGCAGTTAGATTCATCAAGTTTTATTCTCAACAGCCCTGATTCCATTTTCCCTTAAAAAAATAAACAGACCAATATGTTGTTTTTACGCATCATTCTCTTAAAAATCATTGTCTAAGTAAAATGTCTCTTGAATGTGAACTGTCTGGTACCCCACTATTTAAAACTGACTAAAATAAATATTTAAACCTACGTTTCTAAGTATTTGCTTAGCTGTGTTATTTTGTTTATTTTAGCTGGATCATGTCCTACGGTTTCAAGAGTCCTTTAAATTTTAATAATGGCATTGTTTGTGTACATTCTGGGAAGCTTAAAGAACATAAAAAGAATTAATGTTTTGAATGATTTGATGTCTTAGTCAGCTTGGGCTGCCTTAACAAGAATACCACAGACTTGAGTGGCTTAAACAAAACACATTTATTTCTCATAGTTCTGGAGGCTGGGAAGTCCAAGATCAAGGCGCCAGCAGACATGGTGTCTGGTGAGGACCATCTTCTCATTGTATCCCCCACACAGTGAAGGGGAAAAAGACCATCTCTCCCATGTCTTTTTGTTGTTGTTTTTTGGCGGAGTTTTGCTCTGTCACTCAGGCTGGAGTGCAGTGGTGTGATCTTGGCTCACTGCAACCTCCGACTTCCTGGTTCAAGCGATTCTCCTGCCTCAGCCTCCCAAGCAGCTGGGACTACAGGCATGCACCACCACGCCCAGCTAATTTTTGTGTTTTTAGTGGAGACAGGGTTTCACCATGTTGGCCAAGATGGTCTTGATCTCCTGACTTCATGATCTGCCCGCCTCGGCCTCCCAAAATGCTGGGATTACAGGTGTGAGCCACTGCACCTGGCCCCAAGTCTCTTCCTATAAGGGCCTTAATCCCATTTGTGAGGGCTCTGCCCTCAAGACCTAATAACCTTCCAAAAGTCCCAATTCCAAGAACCATCACATTCAGGATTTAAGCTTCAACATATGGATTTGGGGAAGACATATACACTCAATTCAAGGCATGTAGTTTAGCCAAAACATAAATGTAAAGGAATGAATCCTGTTCCTAATCCACCTATCAGGATATATGATTCAATTAAATGTTGAATGTTACTCCCTAAAGAAACACAGAGGCGCTCACTCCGATTCCCAGTCCCTGGCCTCCTCAGCACAGTTGCAGCACCGAGGGAATCTTCTGATGGTTTCTCCTCCCAACATCCCCTCCCTTTAGCCTGAAGTTGTAAAGCATTAAAAAGTCAAATGGAGGAAGATGGTGCACCTAGCATGGGGCTGTGGGGGGTCAGGGGAGGATAAAGAACAGTGTTCCTTCATTTTCAGTCCATTTCATTTTAGGAATGTGAAACTTTAAATGAGAAGATCCTTCAAGACGACTCATCCAGATGCCTCTCATTTTTAGACAAGGGAGGGGACTGAAAGGCACAGATGCTGACTCGTTCAAGGTCCCAGTTAGTCAGTGATTATGACACATTAACTACTGTGATAACAAGGAGATTTATCTCCTCTAATTATGACATACTTCTTCATCTCATTCAATCTCTCATTTAGGAACAACCCTCACCCTGGTTTATAAACGCTCAAGGAAAATAAATGATTGCCCAGATGGTGAAACAGTGTCAAAGCAAACAAAACGATTCTGGAGGTTCAGTGTAACCCTGCATTAAGTATGTTGTATAACCCGGCAAAAACCACTCCGTGGCACTCTCTACCTGAGTTTCCCTATCTGAGAATTTCGCCCTTCCCCTGCATTTACAGAGCTTGCTACAACACACGTGGACAACAGAAAATACTATTTTTTTTTAATCAAATGCAAAGGTCCTAACTATAACCTCGGGATGGGGTTTGGGGCTTTCAGGTACTGACCCCATTTGCAGGGGGAAAAAAAAAAAAACCTACACCTAAAGAGGAAGAGGAAAAAAGGTGATATTTGTCTACAGTAAAATATAATTTTAAAAAATAAAAGCTCAACTTTGATACTTTTTAATTTTTTTTCTGAGCAAGCGAGTTACTATGGGTATCTCGTTGGAATGTTTTTCTCAGCTCTTAAAGTAGCAGCACAGGCAGCAGGAACTGCTCTTTCCTAATAACGTCCTCTTTTCTGCAGTGTCAAGACTTAAACACCTGGAACAACAGATCACTGCTCCAAGTGCTCCACAGGGGACGGGGCCACCTGGCTCCAGGGCTGTCTGTCCGGCTGGGATTTACATAATAGGAAGGCCCCAGGGAGCCTGGCCAGCCCCTGGCTACCTCTAGCTCCCGCTCCCTTTCTCTAAGCTCTACAATCTGAAAGTATCTGTCAGCAGCACTGGCTGGCAGCCTCTGCACCTCTGGCATGAATACAGGCAGCTGAGTTTGGGAAGACGGAAGGCAAATAAATAGCACAGCAGACAGGCCCTGGTGTGGAGGGTTCACAAAGCAAGAGAGACAAGCCCGGAGAGTCCCCCAGCGCTGACTCGTTCCGAAGCCGCTGCATCCAACAGGAACATGTGGATGTCATTTTACTGCCAGAATGTTTCCCCAGGGAAGGCAAACATGATAAACAATTTTCTTAACTCAGGTATCCCTCCCAGTGCTGAGCACACCTTCGCATTTCACGCGGGGGCTGCTCTGGTGTCAAGCCCCATGGAAGAAGCCTGTTGTGAGGCCAGCCCGAGCCTTGAACTCTGGCCCGCATAGAAACATTCCACTTCCCTGACCACAGTCTTTCTCTGCCCAAGCGCTCCCAGTATCTGTCTGCTGAAGGGTGACGTTCATTGGCTCTGGAAGCCCCCTCTGATCTTAACCTTTTCCTTAGGGCATCAGGTTTGTCCAAGGTTTGGAACCAGAGCCCCTGTTCATGCTGGTTTCCTGGCTTTTTTTCTATCTGACATGAAGGAAGCTGGAAGTCCTCGATTTTCTAAGCACCGACACGCTTCCTGCGATAGGCGGGCTGGTGGACCTTCTCCGAGCCGGCTCTGCCTCCCGTCCTAGCACTGTGCACATGTAACTGATTACCTCCTGGAGGACCACAAGGAAACAAGGTCTGGGAACTATGACAAAGGCTGGAGAGCTCCAAGTAAAAGATGCATCACATTCACTTGGCCAACTCTTCAGCACCAAGACACGCCAGTAAAATCAACCACATGGAGTTGTCCTGTGTGTTAAAAGCCTTTAGCTTATTGGAACAAATTGGAGAACAGCCATTAACAAAGTCACGTGGTTTACAAAGCCCATTAGAAAGAGATCAGTATCTGAGCTGTAGATGTTTCTATTTTCAATCAAATTTCCTTTTAATGAAAACTAATTTTTAAGGGCAAGATACCACAGCAGAAGAAAAACCTCTCGTAAGAAAAGACTTCATAGTTTACAGTGATCAAATGTATGGGCTATCTGCATGATTGGTGGCCTGGACTCAGTGACAGATTCCTTTGTAGCAGAGGTTGGCCACACATCTGAGGGCTGCACCACCACTGAAAAGACAGCTTTCTAAGCATTAGTGTAAGGCAAAAAGCACAGTGCCCAAACTTGGCCATTTCCACCAAGAAAACAAGTTTCATAGCAACCTTCCTTCACCAGAAAGGCTTACTTTATGATAGGCTAACAGAACAGATAAGCAGGTTGGGACAAGATACAGACTTTGTTGCATTTAGCTATGACCTTTCTCCCCTCCGTGGATGTGGGCAGGGTGGGGAGAGGCAGGAAGAGGGAGGAGAGAGAAATGACATTTGCTCTCAGGCTTCCCGCCCCTACCCTTTGCCCAGACAGACGTCGGATCTACGCTGCACCAGGGGTGGGTCACGGAGTCCAGCTAATTGCCAGGAGCTGAGGCGTGTACAAGCCATGAAAAGAGCTGCCCCATGGCCTCCCCACATCACGGTCCTTCATGCACTTGCATCATTAAGGCTGCCAGCTTCAGAGCTCTCTGGACGTTCCCCGGCCAAGTGTCATCCCTGTGTCAAACGGATGGGAGGCCAGGTAATCCTTGTACTCCCCGTCAATCAGTTTGGCGGCGTTGTTCCTGGCAAACCAGCAGTCTATCTGCTCTTCCCCATTGTAAATCTTCCTTTGCTTCCAGACCACTGGGACTTGGTGGCCTTTCACCGTTAGGACGGCCTCAGGCCCCTCTCCCGCCTGAAGGAGCGGAAGGTGAGTGGGGCTCTGGCTGGGCCCCGCAGGGTCTTCCGTGAGTCTGGCATCCTGGTTCAGGAACTGACCTGGGAGGACAAAGCAAAGCATCGGGTCTCAGTCAAATGCAGAAACCTCATGCTGAAATCCAGCTTCAGTGCTATCAGTGGCGGCAAGGCTTACAATTGGCCACAGCCCGAGACTGGACTCTCCCAGCAGGAGCTGAGACATTTTCTGGTGTCATGGAAGAACATGTGTTCTGGGGGCAGGGAGGAGAGAGCTGAGGGTTTATCCACACCATGGGATTTACCCACGACTGCTGGAAGCTTCCCAGTTGCTAACACTAGAAAGTTGCCTAACCTACAAATAGCGATAACCATGGTCTCCTACTGAGTCCAGAGGACAGGATGGGGCAGATAAAAGAGGGAAGGAGTGTTCCGTCTTCCCTCTGTCCTCTCCCCAGTCACAGGCCCGCCTCCTTTCTATCAGCCTCAGGTCTGTGTTGGGTGCAGGGTGGAAAGCAGTCAGCTCAGCTTGTCTCTGACCCTCGTCCTCAGGACTCTCCGGGTCCGATGGCAGCACTGCTCAGGCCACAGGAATAAAGAGCTGTGTCTGCAAAGGGAGCTCACACTGGGCCGCCAGGCCCCACGAAATACAGCCAGCTCAAGAGTCAGGAAATCCTGCCTACTAACTGAGCCCTGACAATGGCTTGCTCTTTATTTTTGGGCAAGGGGCCCATGCGAAATTGCTCATTGAAGAAAGCTGGGTAGAATGGCCCGCCTGCTGTGCACGGCCACGTGGGTACCTCCCCCGGTGGGGGTGTTGCTCAGGCTGGGCACTGGGCAGGGCTGCCTCATGTCTGTGTCTTCTTGCTGAGAGCAAAGGAACTGGACCCTCAGGTGACTACACTCCAATTCCTCATTCATTTTCCCAGAAGGCTAAAGAGAACTACTGGTTTATAAAGCCCATTCTTAGCCCAGAAAGCCCAGGAAGAAATCTAATTTTCATATTACATATGTAGTGATCTAATTTTCATATTACATATGTAATTTTCATATTACATATACAGTCATGCACCACATCATGACATTTCAATCAATGATGGACTGAAAATATGATGGTGGTCCCATAGGATTGTAATAGCATATTTTTAGTGTACCTTTTCCATGTCTAGATACGTTTAGATGAACAAATACTTATCAACGTGTTGCAATTGCCTGCAGTATTCCATGCAGTCACACGGTGTACAGGTCTGTAGCCTGGGAGCAATAGGAGACACCACAGAGCCTAGCTGGGTGGGTAGTAGACTACACTATCTAGAGAGGTTTGTGTAAGGATATTCTAGATGGTCATACAGCGACCAAATCACGTAACGATGCATTTCTCAGAATGTATCCCTGTCATTAAGCAAGGCATGACTGTGTGTGTGTGTGTGTGTGTGTGAATATATATAATATGTACATAGACTGTACACATATATACATACATACACTGTATATATACACACAGACTGCGTATATACACACACACATATACAGACTGCGTATATACACACACACGCACCATAAATACATACAGACTGTATACATATATACATATATACACATTCATACTGTATACATACATATATACATATACACACATATATACATACAGACTGTATATAGACACACATATACAGACTGTGTATATATACACACACCATACATACAGACTGTATATATATACACACATACATACAGACTATATGTATATATACATACCATACATACACACTGTATACATACACGCTGTATACATACATATATACACATATACAGACTGTGTATATATATACATGTATATAGACTGTGTATACATATATACACACGTACATAGACTGTACATATACATATATACATGTATAATACATTATGTAGACTATATATACACACACACATACATATACAGACTACACATACATACAAACATATACAGATTGTATATATGATATATTATGTAGATACTGTATATATACATACACACATATGCAGTCTGTGTATACATATATGTATATTATGTATATGTATAGACTGTATATATATGCAAACACACACATACATACATACATATGCTGACTGTATATATAATAAAAACCACATTCCTATTGAATTTCTCAATTGAACTAAAGATGCTGGCAATATCAGCTTTGCTTGGGAAATTTAACTCTGTCCTCTACACCCAGCGTGAGGAGAGCACAGCTTCCCACCTAGCAGTCCGTGGCAGTTGCTGGAGAGGCCTTCGCTGTTGGCGATGTAGAAGCCCAGGTGGTGTCGCTGGAAAGGCGCCGGCTTTTTGTAGAGGTGGATGAGGATGACAAAGGCTATGGAGCCCTGGATGGTGACCGTGACATTGGCATTGGCAGACACGGATACCTCCAGCCCCCGGCTCCCCACCACCACACTCTGGTTGCAGGGGAGCACCAGCCTGTCCCCACCATCCAGGATGACTCTGCTCGGTGTGATCTCGAGGTAAGATCTCTCTGGCTTGTTGACGAGGATGGTGATGGTGCGGAAGTAAGTGCGCTGTTTCTTATGGCCATTTGGAGGGGCGGGCGCCCCGATTAACTCTCCATTCACTGTCACACCTCAAAGGCCAAGGGGAAAAGAACAAGGTTAGAAAATCTGGCCGGGAGTGGTGGCTCACGCCTGTCATCCCAGCACTTGGGAGGCCAGGGGAGGTGGACTGCTTGAGGCCAGGAGTTCAAGACCAGCCTGGGCAACACAGAGAGACCCTGTCTCTACTAAAAATAAAAAATTAGCTGGGCATAGTGGTGCATGCCTGTAGTCCCAGCTAGTTCGCTTGAGCCCAGGCGTTCCCAGGAGCCCAGGAGCTCAAGGCTGCCGTGAGCTGTGAGTACACCACTGCACTCCATCCTGGGCTCGAGAGTAAGATCCTATCTCACCAAAAAAAAAAAAAAAAAAAAAAAAGGAAGAAAAAATCTATCCCTGCCCAACACATCAAGTTAGAATTTCCCTCCTCCTTTGGGCTTATCTTTGATCTCTAGTACCAAAAACACTGTCGGACTTACACACAGAGGCCACTCAGTGGATACTGAGTGAATGGATGAGGGAAAGCGTAAAGTTATGTGTGGATTTTTTACTGTTGTCTGACCAGTATCTTGGGATAGAGGACGGAGGATGTAGGTTTGGGTCAAGATACCGTAGAAGGAGGCACGAAGCTAAGTATTTGTGCATCTACACACAGCTTACCATGTTCGTCTGGTTTCCTTCCAGTGTGGCTGTAGTGATAAGAACCTTTGTATGACCCTGATGCGTATTTCGTATCCACCAGAGGCTGCTGATCCTAATTCGGACATCTTACGATGCCACTGAGCAGTGTGGGAGAATGCAAAGTTAGCTTTTTGTTTTGTTTTTAGTCCAAAAACTCAAGTTCTTCCTCCACTTAGGTGTTCATCCTTAGACAAGTCAGGAAAAAAAAAACCAAAAAACAAAAAACACCTGTAATCCCAGTTTCTGGGGAGGCTGAGGCAGGAGAATCACCACTTGAACCCAGGAGGTGGAGACTGCAGTGAGCCCAGATGGCACCACTTCACTGCAGCCTGGGCGACAGAGTGAAACCCCATCTCAAAAAAAAAAAAACCTGCCTCCATTTCCTTATCTGTAAAATGGATGGACAGATATAAAACCTAAGAGAATTTTGGTGAGGATCCCAGGAGGTAGCATTTGTGTAAATTGTAAACTGCTATCAAATCAACTCATTTCTTTTTTTCTTCATCATTCTGAACACCACTGGGGCTCTTCTGGACTTGAGCAAGGCCTGTGAACCAAGCCCCAGGGTTCTGTGCTGTCTGGCTGAATAGCAATCAGATGGCAACTGCACTAGAGATGTTTGGGGCTGAATTAGGTGATGCATGTTAAATGTGTTTTGCTCTCAGGCAAAGCTGCAATTTGCAATAAGAAAAGATTGTTACATAATTAACTCTTGTTTTCTCTGCTTTGAGAATAATCTTCCCAATAAAACTTCTTAGACATTCAAGGAAAAAAGGGTCTTCTCTGGGGCAAGGGGTCAGGGAAGGGGAGAAATCCCAGCATGACAAGAGCCTATGCTCTTCCAGCCTCAAAGTCCTAAGCGTTTTTGGGCTGAGTTCCCATCACAGACATCTCGCAGAAGACAGAAACCATGGGAACTGCTCCTAGAATAGGAGGTATTTCCAAGGACATACACAGTTAGGTCCTATCTTGCTCCTGAGCCCTTCTAAGTAAGAAACAGTAGAGGTTTAGCTCTGAGGCTATAAAGTCCCGCAAGAAAACAATGTGTTGAACGAACCCCAGGATCAAACTCTACATAATCGCATCACACATGTCACCTGCCGGGGGACCCTGTGCAACCCAACATTCCAAGACACTCACGTTCTTGGCAGTGAGAAGTGCCAGGATGCCCACTCCAAAGCTTGTCCTCGCAGAGCTGGACATGGCTTGTTACCTGCATTGTACTTGAAAAGCCTTCTCTGTGCTAATCTCTTTCACCCAGGCCCTCTACAGACCGACAGGGTACACAGAGCCCCTTTGACCATACACGTTCACAGCACACAGACAGAGCTGTGGATTCACAGCTGAGCGTCCTGTGTGAGTCATCAAGAAACTGACATGAGTTTAGAACCCTGGCATCCCAGCTTTTGAATGGATAGGCACTATGACAATAATACACAATAATACATTGTGGATTTCTTTTTTTTTTTTTTTTTTTTTTTTTTTGAGGAGATAGAGTCTCGCTCTTGTCACAGGCTGGAGTGATCTCAGCTCCACTGCAACCTCCGCCTCCTGGGTTCAAGCAAGTCTCCTGCCTCAGCCTCCCGGTAGCTGGGATCTCAGTGCCCACCACTATGCCCGGCTAATTTTTTGTATTTTTAGTAGAGACGGGGTTTACCATGTTAGCCAGGCTGGTCTTGAACTCTTGACCTCAGGTGATCAGCCTGCCTCGGCCTCCCAAAGTACTGGGATTACAGGCATGAGCCACCGTGCCCAGCCTACACAGTGGATTTCTAAAGCACTTGGCATTTACAAAACAACTTCACATCCAGTTTCATTTGATCCACTTCATAATAGCTTTGTCAGGCCAATAGAGTGTCCCTATTTCCATGTCACAAGGAAACAACTCCGAGAAGGTACGTGCCCAAGGCCAGGCAGCACTTGTCATAAAGCAGGAGGCAGATCGTAAGTCCAGGGCTGTGCACTTCCCTTAACCACCGACAACACCCTGCGCATCCATCAGGCGGCCCTCAGATCACTGGACGCCCATCTGAAGAACAGAGGCTCAGATCACTGGACACCCATCTGAAGAACAGAGGCTCAGATCACTGGACACCATCTGAAGAGCAGGCTCAGATCACTGGACACCATCTGAAGAACAGAGGCTCAGATCACTGGACACCCATCTGAAGAACAGAGGCTCAGATCACTGGACACCCATCTGAAGAACAGAGGCTCAGATCACTGGACACCCATCTGAAGAACAGAGGCTCAGATCACTGTGGACACCCATCCCAAACAGAGAGGCTCAGATCACTGGACACCCATCTGAAGAACAGAGGCTCAGATCACTGGACACCCATCTGAAGAACAGAGGCTCAGATCACTGGACACCCATCTGAAGAACAGAGCTCCAGATCACTGGACGCCCATCTGAAGAACAGAGCTCAGATCACTGGACGCCCATCTGAAGAACAGAGGCTCAGATCACTGGACACCCATCTGAAGAACAGAGGCTCAGATCACTGGACACCCATCTGAAGAACAGAGGCTCAGATCACTGGACGCCCATCTGAAGAACAGAGGCTCAGATCACTGGACGCCCATCTGAAGAACAGAGGCTCAGATCACTGGACACCCATCTGAAGAACAGAGGCTCAGATCACTGGACACCCATCTGAAGAACAGAGGCTCAGATCACTGGACACCCATCTGAAGAACAGAGGCTCAGATCACTGGACGCCCATCTGAAGAACAGAGGCTCAGATCACTGGACGCCCATCCCCACCAGAGAACAGAGGCTCAGTTTTTTTTTTTTTTTTTTTTGAGATAGAGTCTCGCTCTGTCACCAGGCTGGAGTGATCTCAGCTCACTGCAACCTCCGCCTCCTGGGTTCAAGAGATTCTCCTGCCTCAGCCTCCCGAGTAGCTGGGATCTCAGGTGCCCACCACTATGCCCGGCTAATTTTTTTGTATTTTTTAGTACAGACGGGGTTTTACCATGTTGGCCAAGCTGGTCTTGAACTCTTGACCTCAGGTGATCCGCCTGCCTCGGCCTCCCAAAGTACTGGGATTACAGGCATGAGCCACCGTGCCCAGCCTACACAGTGGATTTCTAAAGCACTTAAGCATTTACAAAACAACTTCACATCCAGTTTCATTTGATCCACTTTATAATAGCTTTGTCAGGCCAATAGAGTGTCCCTATTTCCATGTCACAAGGGAAACAACTCCGAAGGCACGTGCCCAAGGCCAGGCAGCACTTGTCATAAAGCAGGGAGGCAGATGCGTAAGTCCAGGAGCGCTGTGCACTTCCCTTAACCACCGACAACACCCACTGCGCATCCATCAGGCGGCCCTCAGATCACTGGACACCATCTGAAGAACAGAGGCTCAGATACTGGGCTTATCAGAAGAACAGGGAAACCAGATCACTGGAGCGCCGCTCCGGGAACAGAGGCTCAGATCACTGGGCCGCCCATCTGAAGGGAACAGAGGCTCAGATCACTGGACACCCACATCAGAAAGAACAAGAGGCTCAGATCACTGGGACACCCATCACAGAAGAACAGAGGCGGACGTGCACCACCTGTCTTTGCCCAGATGCTGCAGTAGTGGAAGGTAGAACTTACCAGAGTCCATGTGTTCAGAGACCAGCCTGAGGATGTCCCGGGTTGCCCATCAATGTTGTTACACAGTGAGTTTGCTCAGGAAATCCACAACAAAGTGGGGATACCATCCTGCCAGAGCAGAAGAAAAGGAGAGAAAGACACTTATTAAGCCTTCCTGGTGGAGGATTACTACTCTCTATTTTCTCTGAATGAAGTGTTATTTTATTTTATTTTTTTGGAGACAGAGTCTCGCTCTGTCCCCAGGTTCACAGGCTCTCGAGTACAGTGGCACAATCTGGCTCACTGCAAGCTCCGCCTCCCAGGTTCACGCCAATAAATGATTTTAGCCCAGATCCTGGCAATCTGAAGGAAATTGCCCTCAATTTCCAAACGAGGAGAGAGATGAGTGGGAGGGGAAACGATTAAAATTACCAGTGATTATGATAAACGGGCATTTGACTTCAGGTCTTCCAATTCAATATAGTACTCCTTTCATCACACCTAAGCTCAGTATAAGAACAGAGGCTCAGATCACTGGACACCCATCTGAAGAACAGAGGCGGACGCAGTACCTACCTGTCTTTGCCCAGATGCTACAGTGGAAGGTAGAACTTACCAGAGTCCATGTGATCAGAGACCAGCCTGAGGATGTCCCCGGGTTGCCCATCAATATTGAAGCACACAGTGAGTTTGCTCAGGGGGAAATCCACAACAAAGTGGGGATCGCCATCCACTGCCAGAGCAGAAGAAAAAGGAGAGAAAAAGAAAGACACTTATTAAGTACCTTCCTGGTGGAGGTGCTACTCTCTATTTTCTCATGAATGATGTTATTTTATTTTATTTTTTTTGAGACAGAGTCTCGCTCTGTCACCCAGGTTGCAGGCTCGAGTACAGTGGCACAATCTCGGCTCACTGCAAGCTCCGCCTCCCAGGTTCACGCCAATAAATGATTTTATTGAATCCTGAAAACGATACTGGAAGGAGGTGCCCTCAATTTCCAGACGAGGAAGATGAGTGGGAGGGAAACGATTCCCCAAAATTACCCAGTGAGTTCGCAGTAAACATTTGACTTCAGGTCTTCCAATTCCAACATAATGCTCCTTTCATCACACCTAAGCTCAGTATAGACAACTAAGCCTCCAGAGGTGAGAGGAGAAGGAAAGAGAGATCCCTACACACCCTCTGCTGGTACTCAGTCCCCATGCTTCCATTCCTCAGGCACACATCCCTTGCTATTTGCTTTCTCCTTTACTGGCGCAGATGCAGAGGACTTTCCTCTCCTATGACGGGAGATCTACCGCGCTTCTTCTCCCAGGAAGCCATAGGCTATCCCAGGCTCATTCGCAGCGTCAGCTGTATATGCCACCCCTGCACGCAGGCACTGAGAGCCATGCCCAGCTTAGATGCAGGGGCAAGGGAAGCAAAAAGTGAGTAGGCGGCCAGGCACACAGGCAGGGTACCGGCGGAAACCCCTCCTTTGGGTCACACTGACTTCACTGCTCTGAAGTTTCTGTCCACAGATGAGACCACAAAGTTCAGCTGACAGTTCTTGTCTGTCCTCATTTTCACCTGTTAAAGGTGAACACTCTTGCCTTTTATTATACAGATAAAAGATTTCTTGAGAATCTGTATCAATTCTCTTACTAGATTGGAGATTTACCTTCTAATTTATATTCCAAGTGCAATTTGTTTATTTTATTTTATTTTATTTTATTTTATTTTATTTTATTTTATTGAGACAGGGTCCCACTCTGCTGACCAGACTGGAGCACATTGCTGCAATCATAGCTCACTGCAGCCTCAAACTCCCGGGCTCAACTGGTCCTCCCACCTCAGCCTCCTGAGCAGCTGGGACTACAGGCAGGTGCCACCATGCCGGGCTAATTTTTTATTTTTTGTAGGGACAGGGTCTCACTATGTTGCCTAGGCTGGTCTCAAACTCCTGGGTTCAAGCAATCCACCCACCTCAGCCTCCCAAAGTGCTGGGATCACTGGCGTGAACCACCGCACCAGCCTACAACTTGTTTCTTGAATGCCCCTCTGCTTTCCGTGCACGTGGATGTGTCTGCATGCATGCTGTGCACAGTATACGCATGAGCCAGAGAGGGTCGGCTTTTACGCTGCAACAAACTAACATCCCTGCATTCACTGCTGAGAAACCCTTTCTGCCCCAGCATCCCTGAGAAGGGCCCTTGAGAGGATCTGGCTGCTCTCCCTGGGAAGTGCCTCAACTTCCCGGAAAATTTCAACATATGAAGAAATTCAAGGTGCTGGTCTTTTGCTGATGGGGAAAAACTGGCCCCCAGAGGAGATCAAAGTTCTCACCCGCATTGCTGGCATTTTTTTCAGGCACGCACACAGCTGTCTTTTGGTGTTCATGGCGGATTAGTTCCAGGACCCCCGCGGATACTAAAATCCATGTGTACTCAGGTCCCCGACATACAATGTGTAGTATCTGTATATAACCTTCGTAGAGCCTTCCATACACTTTATTTTTAATTTATTTTTATTTATTTATTGAGACGGAGGCTCACTCTGTCACCCAGGCTGGCGTGCAATGGTGCAATCTCGGCTCACTGCAATCTCTGCCTCCTGGGTTCAAGCGATTCTCCTGCCTCAGCCTCCTAAGTAGCTGGGATTACAGGCGTGCACCACCATGCCCAGCTAATTATTGTATTTTTAGTAGAGATGGGGTTTCACCATGTTGGCCAGGTTGGTCTCAAACTCCTGACCTCAGGTGATCCACCTACGTTGGCCTCCCAAAGTGCTGGGATTACAGACTTTAGCCACTGCGCACAGCCTTTCCATACACTTTAAATCATCTCTAGGTTACTTATAGCAACTAATGCAAAGGGAATGCGATGTAAATAGTTGTTACACTCTATCGCTTAAGGAATAAAGACAAGAAAAAAAGTCCCTGCACATTCAATACAGATGCAATTCCTTTTTCACATATTTCTGATCTGCTCTTGGTTTGATCCTTGGGATGCAGGACCCATGGAGACAGAGGGCAACTGTCTAGCTCATCTGACAGTTTTCTGAGAGTTTCTATGTGCACGTACCACACCATTTCTACTCAAATCGTCCAAATCTCTTCACAAGGAAACATAGTGCTTGATCCAAAAAAGTGGGGAGGGGTCAAAAAGGCATTACTCCAGGCAGCACCCAAGAGGAAGCTTTTCTGGCATTCCATAAAGCCTACGTGTGTGTTCAAAGGAATTACAGTCCATCTCCTGGAGACTGTGCAGACTCTATATCCACGGCTAATCTCTGGGATGTCCCTGGCTTTAGGAGCTTGCACGTACAGCACAGCAGCAGAAAGGCCATAATCGAGACTTCCAGAGGATGACGTGGACACAGCAGAACAAAACCCAGTCATAGGTTATTCTTTCCTCTGAATTTTTATTATAGTCCCAGGAAGCTGGCAAAAGGAAATTTCATGACATTTGAAAAAAATCTGTTCTTCCCTTTCGAAACCACGAACTGAAAAGAATGAAAACAAAAACAAAACCTGCCTGTCACACCAGACATTTTTATTTTGGTAGCACCATTTTATGTTTGTCATAGCAGAGGCTGGAAGCATGCACGTTCCGGATCTCTAAAACAATGTCTTCCAAACTCAATAAGGGTCAGAATGTGCCTCTGCCACCCATCTATTCTTCCATCGGGTTTCCTGCCAGGATTCCTGGGGACTGTGCTATCTCCAGTGTTTATGCGATGGTTTCATGACAGCTGTGATTCTCAGGCTCTGCCTCACATTGTGGGCTTGATACGTTGCTGAATGAGCTGGTATTTTTAACTGACTTCAAGGAATTCTTGGTTTTATACTTTTTTTTTTTTTAAGACAGAGTTTCACTCTTGTAGTCCAGGCTGGAGTGCAATGGCATGATCTTGGCTCACTGTACCCTCAACTTCCCAGGTTCCAGCAATTCTCCTGTCTCGGCCTCCCCTACAGGCCCCCCGCCACCACACCTGGCTAATTTTTGTATTTTTAGTAGAGACGAGGTTTCACCATGTTGGCCAGACTGGTCTTGAACTCCTGACCTCAAGCAATACACCCACCTCGGCCTCCCACAGTGCTGGGATTACAGGTGTGAGTCACCACACCTTGCTTGGTTTCAGACTTTTTAAACATCTCTTACTCTCAATCCACACACAACCGCATCCTTTTCTTTACCTGATGTTTTAGAGATTTTAATTCTTGGCTGGTACGGCTTCTCCAGCAAAGGTCCTAAAAAGGAGAAGGAAGAGAACATCACGGTCATTCATTAAAGAAGATGAAGAGAGAGGTACAAAGGAAGAGAGTAGAAATGACTAAAATACAGCTTTTAGGTACATTTGTAATAGCTTAAAGAATCAAAAAACCCTTTAAAACATCATCAGTCTTAAAAAGGGAGCTTGGCCTCAAAACACACAAGTAAAGCCAGGCATGGTGGCTCATGTCCATAATCCCAGTGCTTCGGGAGGCCAAGGTGGGAGGATCACTGGAACTCAGGAGTTCGAGACCAGCCTGGGCAATATAGTGACACCCTGTCTCACCAAAAAAAAAAAAAAAAAAAAAATTAGCCCAACAAGGTGGCACACGTCTGTAGTCCCAGCTTCTTGGGAGGCCGAGGTGGGAGGATCACTTGAGCCCAGGAGATTGAGGCTGCAGTGAGCCATGATTGCACCACTGCACTCCAGCCTGGTTAACAGAGTGAGACTCTGTCTCAAAAAAGAAAAGACAAGAAAAGAAAAGAAAATAAGAGAAGCTACACAAGTGGAGTGTAAAGTGTGCAGGATTAATTATTTTATTCTTCTATGAATTAGATACTATTATTTTCTGTTATTTTTGTGTATATTATAGGGGAAAATATTTTATCACACTTGAGATATATTTATAGGGGAAGGGAGAAATGAGTCGTTCAGTGGGCCTGTAGAATTTCGGATATGCAAGATGGAAAAGTTCTAGAGATCTGTTTCACCACAGTGTCAATATACTTAACATCACTTACCAGCGTTGAACTGTACGCTTAAAAATGGGTAAGGTGGCAAATTTTACATTCACGATAAAAACAAAAACAAAAACAAACAACAATGTAAAAAAAGAGGTACAGTTATAATCCAGTGTCTGTAGCTACGTGTGCGGCGGAATTCACAAAGCAGAAGATTTTGAAACACTTTGTATTTCAAAGTACTGGTGCTCTGAATATTCAATGAAAGAATAACCTAAAAGTAGTTAATATCTATAAATAAAATCAATAACTTATGTCAAATTGTTAGTACTAGCAAAATTGTACTCCTCTTCTTTGGTTTTTACTGCTCCCAGAAATTAACGAGTGAGGTCTCGAAATGTTCTTGAAGCACCCGCTTCTCAAGACTGGTCTTGGCCCGCATGATCTGGGCAGAACGCAGATTTGCCAGGAAAGAGGATGGATGACTGCTTTGAGGAGTGGCAGCTGCCACCAACTCTCAAAAAAAATTTAAATTTAAATTTAAAAACCATCAGAGCTTTAAAGAAAGGAGAATCTTCTTTCAAAAAAAAAAAAAAAAACAAAAAACCCTTTTGAGTAATCAGTTGGTCATCTCCTCTGTCTTTCTGGCCCCCTGGGTCTTGTGTCACCTGGGTCTGATCTCTCCTGAAGCCGTGGAGATTTGCGCTGATGACCTGTCATCAAGATGTTATTCAGAAAGCCATTTTTCCTGGATGTGGCACGGATCTCGTGAGGAGAGAGTGATAGCACCCGCCACATGCTTTTAATCACAGCAAACATTGTGTAAGTTTTGCCAAGACAAGCTCCATCCTTTCTGAAATAGCCACGTCAATTGTAACTTTGCTATGGGGACAGGAACTTATCAATACATTTCTGGTACTCCGTGCCTCCATGGAAGGCGTGTCTGACATCTGTGCAAAACTCACTGTGTGCCCATGGCACTCCACATGTAGTCCTTACAACAGCCCTGCAGGGAAATTACGATTATCTCCGTGTTCAGGGCTGGGGAGTGGGAACGGAAGCTCAGAGAGGTTGAGACACCTGCCTCAGGCCTCACAGCTGGTCAGGAAGGTTGGTGAATCCTAACCGCATGCTTTCTCCACACCCAGGTCTTTCTAAGACTTTAGAGTGTGAGGAATAAATGGGACAGCATTGGTGGGGTGCAGAGTAAGGCCTGATCTACCTGTTTCCTCTCCTAGGAGACAGAACTTGACAGGAACCCAAAAGAATGTGATGCATATGAAACGCGATTTTCCACAAGCAGACCTGCCAGGAATACAATGCCCTGCTTCGGTTTCACTGTCTTTCCTTTCTCTTGTTCTGGTCTCTACTCATACCCCCAGCAGAATGGCACCGAGACTGACCGTGCCTGCTTCTGTTCAGATTCTCAGAGACTGACATGTAAAGACCGGATTCTTGCAAGAATCCGTACCTTGGTCCTTCCCACATGCTCTTGGAGAAATAAAATCAAGCATACAATTAAATTATACTACATAACTCTGAAGTGCTTGAAAATATAGAAAGGCACTGAAAAATGGGCATTGGTATGTTCATTTCAGTGCTTCTGCCCATGCCTGAAACCTGGCACTCAGTTTATTGATGGTTTATTGATGGACTGACCTCACTAGGTGATATTTCTGACTCAAATGCCACCTTTTTCTTATTTCTCTAGACAGCCACAGTGTATAGCAATGTGCGTACAACAGTGTACAACACTCTCTGAAGACTATGAGCTCTATACAGCGTTACTGCTTTTTGGTTGGTTGTTTTTTGGAGACGGGGTCTTGCTCTGTCACCCAGGTGGGAAAGCAGTGGTGCGATCATGGCTTACTGCAGCCTCAAACTCCTGGGCTCCATTGATCCTCCTTCCTCAGCCTCCTGAGTAGCTGAGACTACAGGCATTCTACCACACATAGATAATTAAATTTTCTTTTTCTTTTGTAGAGACAGGGTCTCTCTGTGTTGCCCAAGCTGGTATTGAACTCATGGCCTCAAGCGATCCCACCTCAGCCTCCCAAAGTGCTGGGATTACAGGCGTGAGCTACTATATCCGGTCTGGGTTATTGTTTATAAGTATTATGGCAAAATGGACTAACACAGCTTCCTGCTGGGGCTCCCTGTGGAGAAGGTGAGTGACATCTCAGGCCTGCGTCCCCCACATCTGGCTGGCACAGGTGCCTCGTACCTGGCTGCGTGCCAGCTCCTCGCACGCTCTGCACCACCGGTTCGGGTCCCATGGCGGCCGACATGCCGTGGGCCTCCTCCAGGCTGTCCTTGGGCGGGATCGGCCCCCTCAGCTTCATGGAGGTGAAGGGAGTGAGGAAGCGGTAGCTCAGGGCCAGGTCCTGGGCCCGCTGCCGCAGCCGCTCCTTCTCCGGCTCATCGTCACTTTGCAGCCAGGAGCTCAGCAGCTCCTTTGTAGTGAGGTAGCTCCAGAGACGCTCAATGTGGTTGGGGTCCCCCTCTCCATCGCCTTCAGGCCTGGGGCTTCCTGTGACGTCTTTCCCTGCCTTCTGAGGCCCCACAGGCACATCCGTCTTCAGGATGACGAATTTCTTACTGTTGCTGGCGGTGACCTCCACGTGCAGGTGATCCAGCTTCCTGTCCACCAGCTTTCCTGCGATGATGATCTCTGAGCCGTTGAAGTAGTTGGGGAACAGGGTCTTGGTGGCCTGCACCACTGAGCTGGGGGGATAATCGATGCGGATGTCAGAGAGGAGAGGGGTCCTGATTTCATCGTAGAACCTGCAGTGGAAGCACAGGGAAAGAGGGAGATCAGGGCCCTGCTCCGACAGCAGGCAGGACAGTCCTAAAGGAAAATGCAGACTCTCAGGGGAATGAGTCTGATTTTAGAAGAGATCGAGTCCAACATGGCATCCCGCACAATATTTCTGCCAGGAGGTCACGAGGCAGCAGGTTGAACACCACTAATGAGAGGGAATGCATTCTCTCACATGGCTTCTGAGCTGTTTTTCAACTGCTCTCATGATGAGAAAGAACTTCCTTCTAGTAGATTAAAATCTTGCTCCCTGAAATTTCCACCCACTGGTTTCAGTTTTGCCTCTGGAACAACACAGAATTAGTCTAATCCATTTCAACAGACGTTTGGATGCTTAAAAACCAATGCTGTGATTCCTTTAAGCCCGATCAATCCCCAGTTTCATGAACTATTCTTCCTGTGACACAGTTTCGAGATTCCCTCGCTATTCTTTGTAAATTTCCTTTGTGCACACTTACATTTCTCAAAGGACCTCTTAAAAAACCTTTTTCTTAGAACCAAATACAAATTCCAGATGTGCTTTAAGCAGCACATTCTACTTGAGAAACCTGATTTGTATGAGTTTGTGTGTATAACATTTGCTTGCATTTGCTTTTCTTGTAGTTAAGTTACATGACTGCTTCTTGTTAAGTAAGGAGACAATTAAAATTCCCTTTCAAAAGATCTAGAAAGTATAGGCTGTGGAATCAGACTTCCATCTCTGTCGCTTCCTTGCTGTGTGTCTTGGGACATGTGACTTAACCTCTCTGAACTTCAGTTTCCTTATCTATAAAATCAGGATGTTAATAGTACTTCTTTGGTCACCTGCTAGCTGTCCCCAAAAGTCCATTTTCCCCTTCTTTCATGAGAATTGAGCTCTGGCCATCGAGCTACAAACTACATTTCCCAGCCTCCATCAAGGCCACAAATGGCCATGTGATTATGTCCTCCCAATGGAATACGGGTAGGCGTGAGATGTGCAACTTCTCAATATTTGCTTAAAATTCATGCTGGCTTTCTTTTCTCTCTCCCTTTTTGTGGCTAGAAAACTAGAGTGATAGTGACCAAATTTCAATCCTATAGCATTAAGGACAACACCTAAGGGAAGCAGAGCAATAAAACAGAAGGAGCTTAGGTCCCTGAATGACTTTCTGGAGCAGGATCTAGCCTGTTACCATTACAGGAGAGGGAAGTAAATGGCTATCTTATTTCAGCCTTTGCCTCTCATCGTCTCTGTACTGCAGCATAGTCTTTACCCTAATACACCTATCTCCTAGGATTTCTGTGAGGATCATCCGGGATAATGCACGTAGAAATTTCTGGTGTATCATAAGTTCTCATAAATGCCGGGTATTGATCATAGTTTCAGTGGGATGGCAGTGCAGCTGACTTGTTGCAGCATAATTGCTTTTCCTTCTGAATGCCTTATTGAATCTCAATTCTATTATCCAGTGCATCAGATTCTCCCCTTTGACTCTAGCTTTGAATAATCTTTAAAATGTGGGAAGCAAATCTGTGTTTTCATTTACATCCTTCATTAAGCATGGGAGGAAATGGTGGCAAATCCGAAACCGAGGACCTGTCTTTACTGCATACCTTAGGGACCTCTACTTCCGTTTCTCATTAATAAATGTCCTTTGATTATGGCTATTAAACACCCGTAAATTTACCCAAACCTCCCCTTGGCTTTTAAGTAGATACCACATATGCCACGATGCAGATTCAAGGGCCTCACGCTGAACTGGGAGTTGGCACTTCGCTCAGTCAACAGCAATGTGGCAGACTGTGTGTGGCAACATAATATCCGAGGGAAGCTATTTCTGTTTTAAAAGATCTAAGTTTTCTCCAACCTCTCATTTAAAAGATCTCATTTATTCTCCACCTCAAAATAATCTGATTATTTATCAGTTTTATCTGGTGGTTTTGCTTCTAAACAAAAGTATCTTTTAACTAGTACTCAAAATGGAGATAACAGTACTCTACTACTCACAGGGTAGGATAAAAGTACACTGACTAGAAAGTGCTTTGAAATATCAGGATGTCAATGATCCATGAGAGCTCATTAAATACTTAATATGGGATGGCCACTGTGCCAATGCTTTACATGGTGTTTTTATATAGCGATTTTCTCATTAAATTCTGCAACCAACCATAATCCTCATTTTACAGATGAGAAAACGGAGGTACAGCCTGTCTTAAAATCTTGCTTAGGGCTGGGTGCAGTGGCTCACGCCCGTAATCCCAGCACTTTGGGAGGCCGAGGCGGGCAGATCACCTGAGGTCAGGAGTTTGAGACCAGCCTGACCAACAGGGAGAAAGAAACCTCATCTCTACTAAAAATACAAAATTAGCCTGGCATGGTGGCACATGCCTGTAATCCCAGCTACTCGGGAGGCTGAGGCAGGAGAATCGCTTGAACCCGGGAGGTGGAGGTTGCAGTGAGCTGAGATCACACCATTGCACTCCAGCCTGGGCAACAAGTGTGAAACTCCATCACAAGAAAAAAAGCATCTTGCCTAAAGTCACAAAGGAGGATCCGAATTTGAACTCTGATCTGCCGGGCTTCAAAACACATTGTGATACCTCCCATTGCAATGAGCTGTGATCGTTGTCAGCAGATGCAAGTCTGGGGTGCAGCAACACAGTCCTCTCTGAGTTCCCACCACAGCCACCCCTCAGCCCCTCGACCACCCTCACATGCCTACGAAGACAGACCACAGACCCGATGAGCTGCGAGCCCGCATCCTCCTCCTCGTGCACACGCCGTGTGAGGCCGCAGTTCTCCAGCGACAGTTTCTCCAGCAGCCTGAAGTCCACATCGTTGCCGATGCCAATGGTGAAGATGCAGACTTGGCCTCGGGCAGCCTCTCGGGTGTTGTTGAGGATCTTGAGGGTGTGCGTCTCCCCGACTGTGGGCTTCCCATCCGTCAGGAAAATGATGAGGGACACGCTCCGGTCTCCAATGTCATTGTGGGCCACGTACTTGTTGAGGAGCCTGATGGCCCTCTGCAGGGCCCCGTTGATGTCTGTGCCTGCAGGACACCAACACGGGACAGCTCAAGCCTCTACACTCACTTCCCCACCCTGAATGCACTTTTTTTTTCTTTTTTGAGACGGAGTCTCGCTCTGTCACCCAGGCTGGAGTGCAGTGGCGCGATCTCCACTCACTGCAACCTCCACCTCCCAGGTTCAACAATTCTCCCACCTCAGCCTCCCGAGTAGCTGGGATTACAGGCACACACCACTACATCTGGCTAATTTTTGTATTTTTAGTAGAGACAGGATTGACCATGTTGGCCAGGCTGGTCTCAAACTCCTGACCTCAAGTAATCTGCCCACCTTGGCCTCCCAAAGTGCTGGGACTACAGGCGTGAGCCACCGCGCCCAGCCTGAATGCACTTTCATAGCTGCAGTTCGCGCTCAACCACCCAAGTGCTCATAGGAGTGAGATGTCAGGGGGCCATCCAGAAACTTGCTAAATGCAAATCGTTTACTAGATGCATATAAGTGACCGGGGATTATCCCGCTGTAACAAACCTTCTCCAGAAGGCGTGTGGCGACACCTTAGTTTAGCAGTCTCCACTACCTGAGCTTCAGTGACTTCTGTGCCCTTTTCTGAGAATGGTTTTGAAAAGAGCAGGAAGGTGTTGAGCGTAGAGGACAGCAGGAATGAGCAGGGAGAAACAGCTGCAGAGGGGAGGAGGGGCACGAATGAAGAGGAGGAGGGTAGCCGCTGACATCTCGGATGCCTTCCAGCGTTGTCCAGGGCTGGGTGGAGCTAATGAAAGAATGAATTTGTTGCCTTCATCGTCCCTCCTTTCCTGGCTTCCTGTCCCTTCAGATCACCTCAGCTTGTCAGAACCCCACAGAGGAAGTGGGGGTTCCCTTCCTCTGCGGGAATATTTCTCTTGGCCACCCTTTTTCCTTCAGAGGCCCTTGTCAGCAACAGCTCTGATTAAAGTTGAGGGCCAGCCAGGCACGGTGTCTCATGCCCGTAATCCCAGAACTTTGGAAGGCCAAGGTGGGCAGATCACCTGAGGTCAGGAGTTCGAGACCAGCCTGGCCAACATGGCAAAACCCTGTCTCTACCAAAAATACAAAAATTAGCCAGGCATGGTGGCACATGCCTGTAATCCCAGCTACTCGGGTGGCTAAGGTCAGAAAATCACTTGAACCCAGAAGGCAGAAGTTGCAGTGAGATAAGATTGTGCCATTGCACTCCAGCCTGGGCAACAAAGTGAAATGCTGTCTCAACAGAAAAAATAAAAATAAAATAAATAAATTTATAAATAAAATGAAGTTGGGGACGACAGGGAAGAAAAACTTTATCAGGAATATGTGGCTTAGAAAACCTCTACAAAATAGAAAACAAATCTCAACTCTGAGAAACGGTGGAAGAATAAACACCAATGACATTAGCAGGTATCTGTGGACAGCAGGAGGTTTTACCCTCCTGCTTTTCTTTGGATTATTTTCTTTACTCCTCAAATGTCTTAGAATAGACACTTCCATGGAAAACATGGGGTGAGAACATGAGTTCTAAATGTTCTGTTTCTTGATCTGGGTCCAGGTTCTGTTCAGTTTATGAAAACATATCAGGTTGTACACTTACTACATGTGCATTTCTCTGCATGTATGTTACACTACAGGTTACTGCTTCCTTAAAAAAGAATGTTCCCATGTTTTCTTTTCCTTCTTTTTTTATTTAGAGACAGGGTCTCAATATGTTGCCCAGGCTGGTCTCAAACTCCTGGGCTCAAGCAATTCTCCCACCTCAACCTCCCAAAGTGCTGGGACTACAGGTGTGAGTCACCACGCCCGGCCACTGATGTATTTTTTTTCTTTTTTTTTCTTTTTTTTTAAGACATAGTCTTGCTCTCTTGCCCGAGCTGGAGTGCAGTGGCGTGATCTTGGCTCACTGCAACCTCTGCCTCCCCGGTTAAAGCAAGCAATTCTCCTGCCTCAGCCTCCTGGGTAGCTGGGATTACAGGCACATGCCACCATGCCCAGCTAATTTTTCTATTTTTTTAGTACAGACGGGGTTTCACCATGTTGGCCAGGCTGGTCTTGATCTGACTTTGTGATCTGCCCACCTTGGCCTCCAAAGTGCTGGGATTACTGGTGTGGGCCACCGCACCTGGCCCCATGTATTCTTAAATTTACTACTTTATGATTAAAATAAATCACACAATTTAAGTTTGGGAGCAAAATGAATAAATAAATAAAGTTGGGGCCTGTGTCTTTGATAGGAGCTGAACAAGTATTTGTTTGGCGGATGGAGAGACAGGTGGTTGGGTGGTTGAGGTTGAAATCCCAGCTACAGTGAGGTTTCTGGGTTAGCTAAGGATTCCACTGAACTAAGCTACCAGCATCCCACCATCACCAAGTAAAGCAGGGACTTTACTGTAGTGTGAACACCTATTTCCTTTGTTTTTTTTCTTTTTTAAATGGCTTAAGATAAAATCTATATACCAAAAGATCACCCGTTCTAAGTGTCCAATTCATGATCTGTAGTAAACTTAAGAGTTTGATGACCATCACCACCATCCATCATCCTGACTGGAGGCACTTTTCTCTACCTGCAAATTTTACCACATTTGTGGTACATATATACCATGGGGCACTATTCAGCCATAAAAAAGAAAGAGATCCTGTCATTTGCAACACGATGGATGGAACTGGAGCTCATTATATTAAGTGAATTAAGCCAGGCACAGAAAGACCAACTTCCCATGTTCTTGGTTATTTGTGGGAACTAAAAATTAAAACAATTGAACTCACGGAGATAAAGAGGAGAACGATGGTTCCCAGAGGCTGGGAAGGGTAGTAGAGGGTGGGGCAGAAGGATAGTTAATGGGTACAAAAAGTAGTTAGAAAGAATGAAGAAGATCTAGCATTTGATAGTGCAACAGGGTGATTATATTCAATAATAATGTCAAGATACATTTAAAAATAACTAAGAGTATAATTGGATTGTTTGTAACACAAAGGACAAATGCTCGAGGTGATGGATATTTCATTTATCTGACGTAATTATCACACAATGTATGCCTGTATCAAAATACCTCATATACCCCATAAATACATATACCTACTCTGGACCCACAAAAATTAAAATTTAAAATTAAAATGTACCACATCTGGGAGAACCAGATCATCTCCCCCATGGCTTTACATCCTCCAGATTTTCTAGCTAAAAAAGTAGATAAGGCTATGTCCATGACCAAATGTTTGTAATTCTTGCTAAGATGCAGAGTCCAAATGGAAGGAAAGTTATTTAACATTTTATTGGAATCACTAATTTGCCTTTCTTTTGTTTGTTTGCTTTTGAAATGGAATCTCACTCTGTCACCCGCGCTGGAGTGCAGTGGCGCGACCTCGGCTCACTGCAACCTCTGCCTCCCAGATTCATGCAATTCTCCTGCCTCAGCCTTCCCAGTAGCTGGGACTACGGGCGCAAGCCACCACGCCCAGCTAGTTTTTTGTATTTTAGTAGAGATGGGGTTTCACTGTGTTGCCCAGGCTGGTCTCAAGCTCCCGAGCTCAGGCAATCCGCCCATCTTGGCCTCCCAAAGTGCTAGGATTACAGGCATGAGCCACTGTGCCTGGCCTAATTTGCCTTTCTTAAGGGCCAGTCTAATTTCTTAGTGCCCCTGGATGTGTGGGCAAGGATGAACTGGCATTTGTTTTTTTTTTCATGTCTGTATTCAGCAATGGTGCCAAATCTCTCACTCCACTTTAAAGCCAAGGAGAGCCCAGGTAGAGGGATGGATTAGCTTTCCCGATGGCACACAGCCACCAGAGGCCCTGCAGGGATTGGCATCAAGCCCATGTTAAGGGGGGCATTTCTTGCCCACGAAAAACAGAGAGGAGCTGTCATCAAAGGACTCACAAGCACCAGTGAGAAGGGTTACCCGAAAATAATGGCCACATCTGATGCCTAAAGAGGACTTTCTATGTGCCAGGACCATTCTAACCACTTGAAATGCTTTAGCTCACTCCATCCTGATAACGACTCCATTGTTATCTTCATTCTACAGATGAGGAAACTGAGGCACAGAGAAGGTGGAGCTGGATTCAAACCCAGGCAGCTTGGCTTCCAAATCCATGCTCTCAATCCTGACGCTACACATCTTAGAGAGAAGCAGGCTGATGTACTGTTCACCTGCAGAGGCTAGGGCAAGGCGGTGTCAAGAAAAATAAAGGAAACCCATGGGGTTTCTAAGGCTTGGAGTCCAAAAGACCCTAACATACATCAGCCATTTTCTTTCCTTTTTTCTTTTTCTTTTTATTTTGAGACAGAGCCTTGCTGTCGCCCAGGCTGGAGTGCACTGACGTGATCTTGGCTCACTGCAACCTCTGCCTCCCAGATTCAAGCAATTCTCCTGCCTCAGCCTCCCAAGTAGCTGGGATTACAGGCACTTGCCACCACGCCCGGCTAACTTTTTGTATTTTTAGTAGAGACAGGGTTTCACTATGCTGGCCAGGCTGGTCTTGAATTCCTCACCTCAGGTGATCCACCTGCCTTGGCCTCCCAAAGTGCTGGGATTACAAGTGTGAGCCACCCCACCCAGACCAGCTATTTTCTGAAGCTGTTTATTACTCCATGGACCCCACTCCACCAGCACACACACATCATTCTTGTAGTAAGCAGGACCATTAAAATAAATCCAGTCTACAAATATCCATTGAGCATGCCCTCTGTGTTAGGAACCGTGCATGGAGGTGGGAGCTATGTTAACATGAAGAGAAATCTGTTCCTTCAAGAATTTTATGGTGTTGTGGATTTGGATTTCCTGCTGTAGATTATCACTGTCATATTAAATCCAATCTTCAGTTTCTCTCATCAAACACCAAAACAGTTCCGAGATTACACTGTTTTGGAGGCTAGTAGGAAATCCCAGTGTAAATGAAAGTACCAGCCCAGCAAGATCAAGTTCCAAATTAAGTTCATTTGGGAAATGAGGGCTTTGTCTTGGATTGGGAAACCATGAATATATGAAAGATGGAAAATTCCAGATGGGAAAAGACTGAACAGTGTTTTGTAGGTTTCCAGATAACTGAAGTGGAATTAACCAGGAGGTGGTGTCTCTGTACAGAGCCTGTAAGGCAGGGGGCAGGGAGGGAGTAGGTCCAGTGTTCTAAATGCTCCAATACTGAGCACCTCTTCTGTGTCCACTACACTGTTGATACAGAGAACGGCAAGAGCACGGCGCAGGTCCTGAGTTGGGAGAACTTAACATCTAGGACAGCTGGGTAACACACTGCTCTGATTCTCCACTCTTCTCAGAATTCTTTATGGTCTTTCCTCTCTTAACATTCTGTACCCTTACCTGGGCACCACCCAAGACAAGCATGCAGTGGCTGAGAGCCCACATCCTCCCCATCACATTTTACCTCCACAACCCTCCCAGGCCACCCGGATACAGGTTTCACTCACTCTGCTGCAGGTCTACCAACAGGGCTCCTGGTTTTGCAAAGCAGTTCCACCTGCCCCTGCCCCGCCTTGTTTTGCAAAGCAGTTCCACCTGCCCCTGCTCCTGCCCCTGCTCCTGCCACTGCCCCTGCCCCTCCTTGTTTTGCAAAGCAGTTCCACCTGCCCCTGCGCATGAACCACTGGCTGGTCCATGTGGCTTTAATTCTCCACCCCCAAACCTTTACAAAAACAGTATTGTTTTTGTATCAGCAAGACTTTTTGTAACAGGATCCATGAGATGAACCAGGAAAGCCTCCAAACACCTATCAGGTTATTTTCCCCCAGAACCTCACCAGCCTCACTTGGAGACTGAGAGTACGGATTTGGTATTTGGAGCAACCTAGGCTGCTGAGAAAGCTCTCACCCGCAGTCTCCTTTCCTGCCATCAACCCCAGCTTTCAAATCTTTGTCTCTCAGCCAAAAAGAAAAAAGAAAACTTATTATGTCAAAGCCAAGCCAATGTGAAAAGAAGGTGTCATCTTTACCTCCAGTGGGTGACATATGGTGAATGTACACTTTGCCATCCCTGATGCTGTCTGGAGTGACTGATATCAAGTGGTCCTTCCATACTTTGATCCGATTGGAAAATCCAATGATACTGAAACGGTCCTGGGGTCGGAGGTCATGGAGAATCGTGAAGAGGGCATCCTTGGTCTAGGCAAACACAAAAGCAAAACCAGTCACAGCCACTCACGTGAGTCCACTTATCCCCTGTTCGGGAAACCGTCACCCCCGGGAACAATGTCAGGGTTCAAATTCAGTGTCAACTATGTAAAGGGCACTTGGCTGAATGTCAAGGAATTGGTTACCTGACTGGAAAGAATGATATAAAGATGTTACGGTTGTAGACATGAGTGAATCATTATGAAAGCTGCATCCCGCCACGGTGCTTTGGGCCCCCGCATCTCCACCACTGCTGTTCTCTTGACCCTGAATGTTCTTCCCCACCGCCCTACCTCCATCTTTCACTTGACAAGCCCCTCCTCATTCTTAAGAGCCAGGCAAGTGTGCAAATTCTCTGTTCGAAATATTTCTAACTTCTCTGAAGAGAGCTGATCATTCTCTCCCTTAGGCTGGCAAAGCCCTCAACGCACTCCTATGAGAAAGCACGCATCACACCACGATGATGACTGTTCATCTCCTTCCCTTACTCGGTTGTGAGTTCTCTGCAGGTGGGTCTCCTTCATCTTCTACCACCTAGTGACAAGGAGGTGCTAGACAAAGGTGAGGCAGGTGAATGAATGAACGTTTAATGAATCATAAAATTAAAGGCCCAAATGATAAATACCATAGGAATTGAAAAGATTATTACTGTGGACTGGAGTGACATGAGGCTTTAAAGAAAAGAGGAATTTGAGGATGAGGTTTAAAGAATACCTTGAAAGAACTGGAAGGACATTCTTCTTCTTATTTTAGACAGACTCTCGCTCTGTCACCCAGGCTGGGGTGCAGTGGCGCAATCTCAGCTCACTGCAACCTCTGCCTCCCAGGTTCAAGTGATTCTCCTGCCTCAGCTTCCTGAGTAGCTGGGATCACAGGTGCAAGCCACCACATCCGGCTAATTTCTGTATTTTAGTAGAGACCGGGTTTCACCATGTTGCCCAGGGTGGCCTCGAACTCCTGAGCTCAGGCAATCCACTTGCCTCAGCCTCCCAAAGTGCTGGGATTACCAGTGTGAGCCACTGCACCCAGCTTCGAAGGGCATTCTGAAGAGAAGGCAGGCGGTTTGAGCAAAGCCGGGAAGTAACACAGGTGAGATCGCGGATGCTAAGTGATAACAGGTATGCACTAAAGTCAGCTGTGACGCATGGAAAGAAGAAAGAAGCCATATGACCTGAAACCAGAAATACTCTAGGGGCTTAGAAAAGGTTTCTAGAGTAATCCGCAGACACTGTGAGCAAACACTGTCTTCCCAAGTAGCATTGCTGTTAGACACTTAAAGAGGCACAGCATGGCGGTCAGGGACTTTCACTGCATAACGACCATGAAAGGACATCTGGCACCTTTACGAAGGTGAAGAGCACAGGCTTCAGGGCCAGCTGTCACCCCTGAGGCTGGGTTTCCCCCCAACTCTCTGTGAGGCCCTCAGCAGTAAGCTCCCTCACTTACTCGCTCTCTGATATCACTGCGCCCAAGTTACCCCATCCATAAAATCAGGACAGTAATAGTACCTGCCTCGTCAGGTTGTCATGAGGATTAAATAAGGATCGAGATGAAAAGGGCTCCGAGCAGGGCCAGGCATACAATCAGAGTTCTAGATGGGTTTGCTGTTACTTGCTGGTGGCTGTAACTTGCTGGTGGAAAGCCCCAGCAGAGCTTAAGAGAAAACAGTGAAGTCGGGAATGGTAAGTTCCAGAAGGACATGTGCTAAGGAGTTCCAGAACACTCTCAAAACAAGCTGTGGGTCTCTTCCCCGGTTCATGACTCTTTGCCTTTCCTCCTTCCCCAGATTCAGACAGATGGCTCCGTCAGCCTCTCTGGCTAGGTGAAATAACCACTGCTTTTGTATCCTTTCCCTCTGGAATTTTCCCTCTTCCTTACTCTTCAGTCTCCTTTCAATCCTGGATCCAACTGCTCATCCCATATCAAACTGTCCAACATGAATTTTATAGGAACCTCAAATTCTGCTTCAGAAAACTATTCTCAATGCATCTATTTTAAAATCTGCACATTAGGCCAGGTGTGGTAGCTCATGCCTCTAATCCCAACACTTTGGGAGGCCGAGCCAGGTGGATCACTTGAGGTCAGGAGACAGAGATCGGCATGGCCAACATGGCAAAACCTCATCTCTACTAATAATACAAAAATTAGCCAGGCATGGTGGTGCATACCTGTAATCCCAGCACTTTGGGAGGCTGAGGTCGGTAGATCACCTGAGGTCAGGAGTTTGAGACCAGCCTGGCCAACAGGGTGAAACCTCGTCTCTACTAATAATACAAAAATTAGCTGGACGTGGTGGCGCACCTGTAAACCCAGCTACTCAGGAGGCTGAGGCAGGAGAATCACTTGAACCTGGGAGGCGGAGATTGCAGTGAGCTGAGATCGTGCCACTGCACTCCAGCCTGGGTGACAGAGTGAAACTGTGTCTCAAAAAAATAAATAAAACACATCTGCACATTATATTTTTTTTCTGTAGGGCTAGTGAACTAAGAGTTTCTAGGCTGAGCAAATGTTCGCCTAACTCGCTCCCCGTGGTTTTTTGCTAAAGTAATGTTCCTCCACTTCCCAGCACTTCTTCATTCTCAGGTTGAGAAAGCAATGGAGTCGATGGTATCATTAGAAGGATGATGACGACGATGCTGACTATATTAACAGCTTGCATTTCCTGGGAGCTTTCTACTCCCCAGGCATACGCTGAGTGGACAGGCTCTTCCTATGTTGAGGTGATCAATTCTAATTCTTACAAGCCAACTGAGAGAAAGTAACTATTAGTATTCCCATTTAACAGATGGGGCAACTGAGGCATGGAGGGGCTAAGCATCATGCCCCATGGGAGCCTGGATTAAAATGCAGGGAGTCTGACTTCAGGGGCAGCACGCACACAAACAGCAGCAGAACCTGCAGCCCCAGGACGACTGGAGCCGAGATTACTCGGAGCTGTCACCCTTTTAATGTGCAGCAAATCTGGTGATCTCTTCCAAGTCCCTGTATGTTGATGGGCTCTGTTTATTTCTTTGTTTCTTTTGTTTCATTTCTGGCATCAATTAATGTATCCATCTCCTGTAACATCCTTGCAGAAGGCACTCAGGTGCCAAGCACAGTGGCTCACGCCTGTAATCCCAGCACTCTGGGAGGCTGAGGCCAGCAAATCACTTGAGGTCAGGAGTTCAAGACCAGCCTGGCCCATGTGGTAAAACCTTGTCTCTAGTAAAAAAAAAAAAAATACAAAAATTCGCTGGGCATGGTGGTACACGCCTGTAATCCAGCTACTTGGGAGGCTGAGGCAGGAGAATCGCTTGAACCCAGGAGGTGGAAGATGCAGTGAGCTGGGATCACGCAACTGCACTCCAGCCTGGGCAATAGAGTGAGACTCTACCTCAAAACAGAAAAGAAAAAAAAAAAAGAAAAAGGAAGGCACTGCAGGATTTTTGCACCTGCCCCGGGACAAGAACAATGAACATATTTCATTAAATCTACCTTCTCATCCTACTGGAGAATGCAACAAGTTCTTCTGGGAGAAAAGAACAGCAATGGAATGCTCCTTTTCATTCCCGGGGCTCGGAGACCTCCACTATTCTCTGTTCTCTCCTCTGCTATTCCCTCCTCCTATCCCCCTACACCCTGCTTGTTCAGAGGGGCTCTCCGCAGCAGTTTCCTGTCCTCTCCCATGCCTGGCTCCCACTGCCAGGAAATATGTCAAAGTCTCCCATGCAAATAAACAGAACCCACACCCAGACGTACCAGCACTCTCCAGAAGACACTGTCAAGTCTATGCTGTTCCCTTCTTGAAACTCCTCCTGCTTTGGCTTCCCCAGCCCCTCCCCGGGGCTTTGCTGGTGTCTCCCTCTCTGCTGGCTCCTCAGGGTGAGTCACACGGTCCTTTTCTCAGCTGAGGTTCTCAGCTCCACTCTCACACCAGACACTGCTCCAGGTGACATCATCCATCCCCCACAGTGCCAACTACCATCGTCATCTGTGAATTTCCAGGCTCATCTCTGGAGCTGGCCTCCGTTGTTCCATCCAGACCAACCTGCCAACCGTTTCTCCCTGCGTGTCCCACGGGTAGCTCAGAATCGACTCGGTGGAGAATGGAGCCTTCATCTTTTTAAATCTCCCTCTCCTTTGCTGCTCTCTGTCCCAGGACAGAGGACACTGGAACCTTCACCCGTGGTCCAGGGTGGAAGCCTGGACGTCATGTTGAATCTGTAACCCTCACATCCTTCGCCACACCCTGGAATTCCAACTCCTCTCCCTAAATATCCCTGTGACCATAAACTGATATGCCTTTTCTTCCTTTGTATTTTTTCTTAATACAAAAATATTACTCATTTTTTGAAAGATAAGAAGAAAAACATATACAACTCACATCATCACGCCTATCTAGAGACAACCACTACTAAAATGCTGGTGTGCCACATACCACTTCAGAAACATCCCCGGGTGTGTGCGTGTGCACGTGTGATTTTAAAGGAAGTGGGATCATAGAATACATATATCGTGCTGTAAAGTTTCTCTTTACTGTAACATACCACATATGGTTTTCATATCAATGGAGAAATGTTTGCCACATCATTTTAACAGCAATCCAACATCCTCCTGCACGCATCCACCATGTTTTCATATTTTGGAATATTTGGGCAGTGCTGCTGGGAAGCTCATTATCCTTAAGTCTTTGTGCCCGTGACTCTTCCCTTAGGATAAATTTCCATATGTGGAAGTGGAGCAACAAAGGGCTTGCGCTTCAGGAAGGACCTAGTGTGGCCCTGCATTACTGCAACGTAGATTTTCAACCCTCCTCTCTTCAAAGCCTTCCATGGCCCCTCACTGCCCTCAGCATAAAGTCTAAGGTATTTTATCTTATCTTAGACGGAGTCTTGCTCTGTCACCAGGCTGGAGTGCCGTGGCACGGTATCCACTCACTGCAACCTCCACCTCCCGGGTTCAAGCGATTCCCCTGCCTCAGCCTCCCGAGTAGCTGGGATTACAGGCTCACA